TCTTCATAAATTTTGTATATTAGCCCTTTATCTGATGCATCATTGGTGAATATCTTCTCCCATTTAATAGGTGGTCTTTCTGTTTTGTTGATGATTTCCTTTGCTGTACAAATGCTTTTTAGTTTGATGTAGTGCCATTTGTTTATTTTTATTTCCCTTGCCTGAGGAGATATAGCAGCAAAAAATGTTGCTAAGAGAAATGTCAGAGATCACTTCTCAGCCTTTTGGCTGAGATCAAGTGTAGAAATGCCAGAGAGTTTACTGCCAATATTTTCTTCTAAGAAATTTTTGGTTTCAGGTCTTATATTTAAGTCTTTAATCCATTTTTATTTTATTCTTGTATATGGCATAATAAGGTGGTGTACTTTAATTTTTTGCATGTATCTATTCAATTTTTCCAACACCATTTATTGAATAGACTGTCTTTGCCCCATTGTATATTCTTTCCTTCATTGTCATATATGAACTGACCATATAGTTGAGGGTTTATTTCTGGATTCTCAATTCCAGTTCATTGATCTGTCTTTTTATGCCAGTACCACGTTGTTTTGATTACTATAGCCTTCTAATATAGTTTGATATAATGTAGCACAATACCTCCAACTTTGTTCTTCTTTCTCAAGTTTGCTATGGCTATTTGGGGTCCTTTGTGGTTCCATACATTTCTGAATTATTTATTCTAGTTCTGTAAAATATGCCACTAGTATTTGATAGAGATTGTGTTGCATCTATAGGGTTTGTTGGGTAGTATAAACACTTTTTTTTTAAATCCTCACCCAAGGATAATTTTACATTAATCTTCAGATAAAGCTGGAGGGAGAGAGAGAGGGAGAAAGAATGAGAGAAACATTGATGTGAGAGAGACACATTGATTGGTTGCCACCCGCACAACCCCAACTAGGGCTGGGGACAAACCGCAACCAAGGTATGTGCCCTTGGCGGGAATTGAACCTGGGACTTTTTGGTCCACAGGTGATGCTCTTACCTCTAAGCCATACTGGCCAGGGCTGTATGAACACTTTTAATGCTTACACTTCCTATCCATGAGCATGCTATATGCTTGCATTTATTTGTATCTTCAATGTCTTATAATTTTCTGAGTATAGGTTTTTTACCTTCTTGGTTAAGTTTAATCCTAGATTATTTATTTATTTATTTATATTTATTGATACAATTGAAATGGGAAAGTTTCTCTTTTTGATAGTTTGTTATTGGTGTATAAATGCAACCGATTTCTGAATATTTATTTTGTACCCTGCTACTTTACCAAATTTATTAGTTCTAGCAGTTTTTTGGTGAAATATTTAGGGTTCTCTGTATTCAGTATCATAACATCTGCAAATAATGACAGTTTTATTTCTTTCTTTCCAATTTGAATGCCTTTTATTCCTTCTTGTCTGATTGCTGTGGCAAGAAATATCAGTACTATGTTGAGTAAGAGTGGTGAAAGTGGACATCCCTGTCTTGTTCCTGATCATAAGCATCCTATATTTTATTTGCTCAATCTGGCAGAGGTCTCTGAAGAATCCACTAACATGCCCCCCAAAGAGCTAGCATTTGGAGGTTTACAGGACAGAGGGCCACAGAGAGAATTATAAACAATACCATCTATGTGAAAAGAACTTCACTCCTCTCATCTTTTCTCCTCATTCCTGTCCCACTTCCACTTAGGAAAATATTTGTGAGTGAGAAGTGGGAGATCATGGTGGAACATGAATGAAAGCGCAGACCCTACCCCCTCTACCAACAGCAGACTCCTGAATCATTCCTTAAGGGGCAGCAGGGGAAGGAGAGGAGAATCTGGGAACTGGAAATGAGGTTCAAGGTTTTTGTTATACTGTACTGGACTTTTAATATCTGAAAATGTGACAGTTCTCACAGCCAAAAGTGAACTGAAGGTGATGGAAACTTCCAGAATTAGCATCAATGAACACATAAAGGGAGATCAGAGAGTTTTGTTTGTTTGTTTGTTTTTTTATCCTCACCCGAGGACATTTTTCCATTTTTTTGTTTAGATAGAGTGGGAGGGAGACAGAGGAAGAGAGAGAGAGAAACATCGACGTGAAAGGGACACATCGAGTGGCTGCCACCCGCACAACCAACCAGCGCCAGGGACAAACCGCAACCGAAGTACATGTCCTTAGTGGGAACCGAACCGGGTCTCTCTGGACAAACCGCAACCGAGGTACGTGTCCTTAGAGGTAATCGAACCCGGGTCTCTCTGGACCACAGGCCGATGCTCTAACCGCTGAGCCAAACCGGCCAGGGCTAGAGAGTTTATTTAAAAGCAGTGGTGAGCCCTGGCCGGTATGGCTTAGCAGTTAGAGTGTTGACCCGTGGACCAATGAGTCGCAGGTTTGATTCGGGTCAAGGGCATGTACCTTGGTTGCAGCTCATCCCCAGCCCTGGTTGGGGTCGTGTGGGAGGCAGCCATTCAATGTGTCCCTCTCACATTGATGTTTTTCTCTCTCCCTCCCCCTCTCTCTCTCTTTATCCCCTTCCACTCTATCTGAAGAAACATGGGACAATATCCTCAGGTGAGGATTAAATATAACTAATTAACTAACTAACTAACTAAATAAATAAATAAATAAAATACAAGCAGTGGTGAGAGAAAAGTAATGACTCACTCTGTTCAGCCCATTAAATACATCAGTTAGACAAATTATATTTCTCATTTGATTTTTCCTTTTGACTTTGTAAGACTGCTTACAATGAAGGACCCACCTACTTCACCATACTGACACTATGTACTAAAACCTGGTGATTCATCATAGAATTTGCAGCTCACAGACATGATACATGATCCCCATGACTGACATTCATAGTCTCAAGAACCATCAACAAAACATTTTAAAAGTTCTCATTTATTTTATACTTTGATTTCTACCCCTTCCACTTCTTTCTAATAGAGGCAACCAAAGTGTATAGTCATAATTGACACTGATTTCTTTATGGTTTGCTTTCAGCTGAATGACATGGGCAAATTTGAGGAACTCTAGGGCCACAAACATAAAATTGGAGACTTATAATTTCTCTCTCTCTCTCTCTCTCTCTCTCTCTCTCTCTCTCTCTATATATATATATATATATATACTGTTTAAAACTGATGAATAGAATTTCTCTTCATTTTAGCAAATTTTACATCAATTTTCCTGTTTAGTAATATATACCTTGACTCTCTTAAAAATTTTAAAAATTTTCTTCCACTTTAGTTTTCATATCAACGGGCCACTATTTCACCAGTTATCCAAGTTGATGCTGTTTTCTCAAGCTGACATATTTTTCCCCTTCAATAACACCCCAAAACATCTACATGCATCACCGCCTCGCCCACCCAGCAAGATAATTTCATTCAGCAAACAATTGTTTACACAATTATTAAGGGCCAATCTGGACACTAGGAATATAATAACAAACAAGACAAAGTCCTTGACTTCATGGGACTTTCATTATGTTGGGGAATTAGTCAACAATAAATTGAGAGATACAGTAGTTGGGATTCTCCAGAGAAACAGAACCCATAGAATAGGTAGATAGGTAGGTAAGTAGGTAGGTAGATAGATGGATAGACAGACAGACAGATAAGGAATTGGCTCACACAATAATGGAAGCTGGCAAATCCAAAATCTGCAGAGCCAACATCCCAGTTTCAGTCCAAAGACAATAAATAGGTAGCTGTAGAACTAGGAAGAAACCAATGTTCCAGTTTGAAGGCCATCGGGCAGGAGAATTTTCTCTTACTTGGGGGACGGTCAGCCTTTTGTTCTATTCAGGTCTTCAACTGACTGGATAAGGCCCACCACATTATGGAAAGCAATTTTCTTTACCCAAGTCTACCAATTTAATTGTTAATCTCATCTAAAAACACTTTAACAGAAACACCTAGAATAATGTTTGACCAAATATATGAGCACTTCATGGTCCAGTCAAGTTGACACATAAAATTAACCACCACAAGAGATAAAAAACAAATAAGATGTTTTATGAATGTTAGACTACAGAGAAAATTAAACTAGCAATCTCATCACACAGTGATATGAGAGAAAGAAACCAGGGAAGGGAAGAGGCTAAAATAGGCATATACTTACGTTACAATACTGTCACAAATTTTAACTACATCAACATCCAAATGTCAGTGGCTGGTTATTCACATTAAGTTTCATTTATTTAATGCCATTCATCTCACATTTGTTAAAATGTGTTATAATGTGTATTTGGAATCAATGGAATTGCTTTCATAAGGCTCCAGTGTTTGTGCTCCTGTTTCACTGGTATTATTAGTAGCAATGCCATGCTTGATGGGTTTAGGATACTGGCAGCCATAGTAGTTTCACAATATGTTCAAATGTCTTCTTTGCTTGTAACGGATTTATTTCAAACACACCATAAAATAAAATATTCACGGTCAGTGTACATAAGAATGCCATAACAGAAACATTTACACATTTAAACTAACACACACAATCACTTTACAATCCCTATGTTTAGTGTAACAATAACATCATTATGTAGAATACACAGGACTGAATCATTTCCCAAATCCAGGCTTCCATAAATAGTAGTTTGAATTCTCAGCCTAATGTTGTAATCTTTGCTTAGTAAGTTTATGCAGTCTAAAGAAGATTTATTATAAAAAAAGGTCTTGGGCATGGCCCATAATCCATGATTTATGTTGAAGTCATATTATCATTATTCTGTAGGTCAAATCTTTACATTCTTTTCACATATCACCACCACCACCACTTCTAATATCTGCATGTTCAGAAGGCCCACCGAAGTCAAGAGAACCGCTGGCTTTCTCTTTAATAAATAAATGTATCAAATCAACAAATTGTACACCTTAAACTTACACAGTGTTGTATATAAATTATATGTCAATAAAATAAATTTTAAAAATACTCTACAAAGCAAAAAATGTTTATTAAGGAATAAAATCACACTAAAGAATATTTATAATGTATGTAAAAGGCACACATACAATAATTTAAATACCCGTGGTGTTCACTTCAGCGGCACATATACTAAAATTGGAACAATACAGAGAAGATGAACATGACCCCTTCTGCAAGAATAACATGGAAATCTGTGAAGTGAAATAAATAAATAAATAAATAAATAAATAAATAAATAAATAAATAAATGCCCGTGTATATTAGTTTCCTATTGCTCTGTAGCACATTACCACAAAATTAGCCAGTTAAAACGATGACCATTTATTAGCTCACGGTTTCGTATGTCAGAAGTCCAGCATGGTGGAACAGAGTTCTCTGCTGAGGTTATCACAAGGCTAGAATCAAGGTATTGGCCAGGCTGAATTTTCACTGGAGGCTCTGGGGAAGAATCAGCTTCCAAGCTCATTTTTATTGTTGGCAGAATTTAGTTCCTTGTAGTGGCAGAGTTTAAGACCACCTTTCCTTCACATGTGGCCCCCTCTATCTTCAAGCAAGCAATAACATGTCAGTCAAATCCTTCAACTTTGAATTTCTAACTTCCTATTTGCAACCCTGGAAAAAACTCTCTGCTTTTAGAAGGTTCATATGATCAGATTAGGTCCAACCAGACAAATCTTCCTTTTGATGAACTCAGAATCAACTGATTATTAACCTTAATCACATCTGTAAAATCCCTTTTGCAACGTTAAGTGACATAACCACAGATGTAACACAAAGGGACAGAGATCATTAGGGCCTTCTTAGAATTCTTCTTACCACACATTATATCCAGCATCCAGGTAACAACATGGAAATATTAACAATCCTCTGTGGGTACCTTTCTGTCTTACCCCTTCCTACTATCCTGAGTTCTGGGTCTGGCCTTCCATTGCTTTTCTTTCCCCTTTAATACATGTGCATGTAACACTAAGAAAGATATCATTCAAACTAAGTCTAGAAGAAATAATATGAAAATAACCTTGGTGGTAAAGGATAATATTTTCAACAATGGTGCTAAAATTACTGGATCTCCACATACAAAAGCAAGCAAACAAACAAAACAACTTTGTCCCTACCTTGCACAATGTACCTAAATTAATTCAAAATGGATCAGAGATCTAAATGTAAAGTCTAAAATTACAAAACTTTTAGGAAAAAAGCATAAAAGGAAATGTATGTACCCTTAGGTTGGGCAAAGATTTATTAAACATAATACCAAAAGTATAATCCACACAAGTAAACTTCTGTTTTTCAAAATAAACCATTAAGAGCATAAAAAGATATGCTACAGACTGGAAAAAAATATTTGCAAATTATAAATATGATTGAAGGACTTGTACTAGAATATATAAAGAACTATATAAACTCAATAATAACTTTAAAAATCTGAAAATCAAAGAAACCTCAAAAAACATTCCAAGAGAAACTTTACCAAAGAGGATATATAGATGGCAAACAGACACATAAAAATATGCTCATTAGTTATTAAAAATGCAAATTAAAAGTACAAGATACCATTACTCACTTATTAAAATGGCTAAAATTAAAAAGGTGAATGTGTAAAGAAATTGTGATTTATCCATACAATGGAATAATATCTGCCAATAAAAAGAAATGGCCTATTGATACATGCAACATGAATTAATCTTAGAATAATTATTCTGAATGAAGGCAGGCAGACAACAAAAGTACATGATATAATTCCATTTATATAAATCTCTAGAAAATGCAAATCTAATTTATTGGGAAAGAAAGCACATCAATGGTTGCTTAGGGTGATGGGGAGAATCAGAAGGGAAGGTTACAATGGGGCAGGAGAAAACTTGAGAATTGTGCTATGTTCATTATCTTAGTTGTGTGATGGTTTCATGGTGTTTAAATATGTCTAAACTGATCAAGCTGTTTATACATGTGCAGCTTATTGTATAAAAATTATACTGAGTAAATCTATTTAAAAGACCATAAAAAGCAATTTACTCTGAATTTTATATATTAAAATTAAACTGAACAATTTATTTGCCAGCACATGCAATTAAAAACAACACAAAGCAGAGTCACCCACGATTGTCTTTTTAATGAGTTTCAGGTAAACAAATATATTGAATAAATAAAAATCTTTGGTATATGATATACTATCATCATCAGTTCACTCATAGTCTTATTCATTTTATTTATTTCTATATTTATCATAATATTATGAAGAGTCAGTACCTGGCCAAGTAAATGACTCTTATCATCACTTCTACCCATTTCATACCCTAACCTTCAAAAACCTGCCTAAAAGTACCAACCACTTTGAATTTTCTATTTAGCATTCTCTTGATATCTTAGAATATTTTATCTAACATAACTTTAAAAAGCTGTTTAGTTCTGATTGTCCTTTGAACTTTTCTTGAAGAGGGTATCATGTTCATAGCAGCACTATTCACAATAGCCAAGAAGTGGAACCAGCCTAAGTGTTCACTGACAGATGATGAATGGATACATGAAATGTGATGTATACATGCAGTGGAATATTATGCAGCCTTAAGAAAGAAAGAAATTTGGACACATGCTACAGCGTAGATGAACCTTGAAGACATTATGTTAGGTGAAATAAATCAATTACAAAGATAAATACTGCATAATGCCTCCCCTTATATGAGGTGTCTAAATAGGTAAATTTATAGAAACAGAAAGTGTAAGGGTGGTTAGCAGGAACTGAAGGGAGGGAGACAGGGGTATAGATTTAATGGGTGTAGATTTTCAAATTTACAAGATGAAAAAGTTCTGATGATCTGTTTTACAACAATACACTTAAAAATGTATCAAACTATACACTTAAAAATGGTTCTGATGAGCCCTGGCACGTGTCACTCAATGGTTAGTGTGCCAGCCCAAGGATTGAAGGTCACAGTTCGATTCCTGGTGAAGGACAAGTACCTGGGTTGCAGGCTCAAACCCCAGTCCTGCTCAGGGTGGTGCAGAAGCAACCAATCGATGTGTCTCTCTAACATTAATGTTTCTCTCTCTCCCTTCCTCCCTTCCACTCTATCTAAAAATCAATGAAAAAATATCCTTGGGTGAGGATTAGCAAAAAAATAATAAATAAATAAATAGTAAAATAATTCAGATGGTAAGTTTTGTTGTTATGTAAACCATTACTAAATAAATAAATGCAAATGCTAAATGTAGTCTTTTTTTCACTAACATTACTGAATTATTATTCATATTATTGTAAGTAACTATAATTATTTTCATTGTTGCAAAATATTATTTTCCTTCTACTTTCTTTGGTTTATTTTGATATTTTATTTTGCCTGATATAAATTCTCAGCATTTATGTTTTTTAATTTATGCATTAGTGGCTACATTTTTTCCACAATATATGTTTTAATGAAGTAAGGATAATATATGTTTTAATATGAAGTATTTTTGTTATTGTTTAGAACATTTTCTAATTTTTATTATAGTTTCTTCAACACATGGGATATTCAAAAGTATAATTTAAAAGTTCCAATTACATTAGGATTTCTAGTTATTATTTTGTTTATAGCTTAATTCATTCTGTTCAGAGAACCACAATATATGGCCTTTAAAAAAAAGTCTCACCCAAGGGTGTTTTTTTTTTTTTTTTTACCTCTAGAGAGAGAAACATTGATGAAAGAGAGAAACATTAATGTGAGAGAGAAACTTCAATTGGTTGCCTTCCATACGTGCCCCAAACAGGGATTGAACCTACAACCTGGGTATGAGCCCTGACTGGGAACAAACCCTTGACACTTTGGTGCACGAGATGATGCTCTAACCAAATGAGCCAGTCTGGCCAGGGCCACAATATATGCATTGAAAATAATGTCATTCCATTTTAAGTATTTTCAAATTTTGTTCATGAGTTTTTTTAGAGGTGTGGATTGCTTAAATCTCCAAATAATGGATAATTTTAATACCTTATTTTTGTCACTAAATCCTGATTTGATTATATTTTGGTCATTATAATACCTATTCTTTGAAATTTGTTGATTTGCTTTACAGCTTAAAGAATGATAAATTCTTTTTTTTGTTGTTTTTTATCCTCACCCGAGGACATTTTTCCATTTTTTGTTCAGATAGAGTGGGAGGGAGAGAGAGGAAGAGAGAGAAACATCGACGTGAAAGGGACACATCGAGTGGCTGCCACCCACACAACCCAACCAGGGCTGGGGACAAACTACAACCAAGGTATGTGCCCTTAGCAGGAACCGAACCCGGGTCTCTCTGGACCATAGGCTGACGCTCTAACCGCTAAGCCAAACCGGCCAGGGCGAGAATGATAAATTCTTATAACTGCTAAACTTGTCCATTAAATCAAGCTTCCTAATTGTGTCATTCAAATCTATATTTTTTATTGGATATTTTTTCTTTTAACATATTAACAATCAGATGTTTGCTAAATTGCCTACCATGACATTGAATTTGTCATTTTCTTCTTGTAGTTTTATCAATTTTGTATATTCAAATTAATTTATTAGAATTTAATTTGTTTAGAATTTTAAATGTAATATTTACACCTTGGTGAATTGAATATTTACTATTATGTGATAAACCTCCATAACCCTAATAATGCTTTCTATTTAAAAGTACATATTTTTTTAAAAAAAATATTTAAAAATTAATGTTTATTTTATTTTATTTTTTTAGAGAGAGGAAGGGACAGAGGGAGAGAGAGAAAAAACATCTATGTACAAAACATCTATCAGCTGCTTCCTGCCTGGTCCCTATTGGGGATGGAGCCCACAGCCCAGGCATGGGCCCTGACTGGGAACTGAACCATCAACCCTTTGGTGCACAGGACAATGCCCTACCACCTGAGCCATATTTTTATATTACTAAGTTATGCAATCTTTTTTTTTACAATTTACATTAGCATTTAACTAACAAATAGTTCATATTCTTTTATTTTCTACCTCTACATAGACATATGTGTTTAGGTTATCTCATAAATCAGTATATAACTGGATTTTTTAAATCCATTCTATTAATCTCTATTTTTTCACTTACAAATTTAGTTCATTTATATTGATCATGATCATTTATATATTTGGGTGTGTTTTAATCATCTTTCTATTCAATTTTCTTGCTCTTCTATATTCTTGTTTCTCTGTAGTTGTGCTAACCAGCCATATTAACAAGACCTTCAATGATTGATTAAAAAA